AAAGTTGGAAATTACAGGAAAATTTTTCTAACAACTAGGAAATTACCAAGTGAACCCTACCTCTATCAAAATCTGGATTGATCCTCAAACTACCTAGGCACAGGGATACTCCCTAGGAATCTACCTATATAAAAACAAAAGTAGATTGTAATTAATTGCTTCTTCTGGTTGTGTGCTTATTAAATAATTTAAAAAAAAACAACAAAGAACAAAAAAATTAGCAATAAAAACTAATCATTGATGTCAACTGTTATATTCTGTAGGGGAACAGATTTCAGAATTCACATAAAAGCAAGATGATTTTCCACTCTAAGTAACTGTGTCAGAATCCTCAATCGAAAAACACAATAAAAGATGATTACAATACCAGAGTAACTTTATTATTAACAATAGTCAGATTTCAACCAAAAATTACTAGACAGGAAAGTAAGGTCTGTGCTTGAGGGACAAGGATTAGGCGAATAGAGGAAAGGCCATCAATAGAAATTAACTCTCAGTGGACCCAGTAGTTTGATTTAGCAGGCAAAACATTCTAAATCAGCTATTGTATTTTGGGTGAATTTGGGGATATAGCTCAGTGGTCAGTGATAAGGTACTTGCCTAGTATGAGTGTGATGGTTAAACTTGTCAACTTGATAGGATTTAAAATCACCATGGAAACAAACCTCTGGGCATGTCTGAGGGAGTTTCTAGGTTAGGTTGAGTAAGGTGGGAATACACATCCTAAATGTGGGCAGCCCTTTTCCATGGGCCCTGTACGAAAAAAAAAAAAGAAAGGAGAAAGTGAGCTGAGCACCAGAACTAACTTTCTCTCTCTCTCTCTCTCTCTCTCTCTCTCTCTCTCTCTCTCTCTCTCTCCTCCCCCCCTCCCTCCCTCTCTTCCTCTCTCCCTCTCTCCCCCCTTCCTTTCTTTAGATGTGTGTGCACATCTCTCCCTCTCTGCCTCTCCTCCCCCCTCCCTCTCCCCCTTCTTCCCTCCCTCCCCCCTAAATGGGGATGAAATGTCACCAGCTACTTCATGTTCTTGCCTCCATGCTTTCCCTGCCATGATGAACTGTAATCTCACACCAGATGCCAAAATAAATCCTCCTCTCTTTAAATTGCTTTTGTCAGGTATTTCATCATAGCAGCAAAAAAAGTAACTGATACAATTGATAGATCCTAGGTTCAATCTCCATCCATCACTGAAAAAAAGGAAATGAAAAAAATTTCAACCAGGTGCAGCAGTGCACACTTAAAATCCCAACACTTGAGAAATGGAGCCAAGAGAGTCAGGAGTTCAAGGTTATCCTTAGGTATATAGTAAGTTTGAGTTCAGCCTGTACTACATAAGATCCTGTCTCTGAAAAGAAAATTAAAATAGATACATCCAAGGAATTGTTTTATTTTTAAAAATCTGTTTTGAAATTAGAGTAAAAATAAGGTCTGAAGGAAGGAAAAAGCATGGAATTTTGATTGAGAAATGAGTAATTTAAAAATAAGAACTCTAGAGTTTAAAAGAATAACTGAAAACACTTCACTAGATGAACCCAAAAATGATTGGGAAAACAAAATAAATGATGAACTTGAATATAGAACTGTAGAAATTTCCTTATCCAGAAAACAGTTTCAAATATTTAAAAGATATGTGAGACAGTATGAACCAGGCTAACATAAGTGTAATTGAAATTGTAAAAAGAGAGGAAAGGGAGCAGAAAGCTACCTAGAGAGATAATGGCTAAAAATTTCCTCAATTTGAAATCATTAGCAGATGTAAGAATTTTAATGAACCCTAAGGAGGAAAAACAGACAAAGTCATCTCTATATAATCATGATAACACTGATGGACAGTTTTAAAGGAACTTCATCAGTGCCATTGTAGACAATCAGGGCAGCTACTGAACATAGATTTCTAGCAATATTTCACAAGTCCAGAAAAATAAGGCAGAGGTTTCTGTGCAGTCAGTCTAGTCTCCCTTTGCAATCTGCTCTCTTAACTGATTCTTATCAAAATCATCATAGTGTGCTTCTCCTTTGACAGTGTGATGCTTTGAAATATATTAATACCTTTTACTTATGTCTTCCTAGAAAACTTTCTTACCATCCATTTTTTAAAAAATCCTTCCTTCTTTTGCATTAATTTTTGTGATGTTTTATTTTCTCCATTGCTATTAATATCATCTTTTTTGGTTTTGTTTTATATTGATAGAGTTTGCCCCTGAACGCTTTTTATTGTATGTGTCTTCCTAAAGTCATAGCATCCTTAAACTTATGTATTAGAATTGCAGTAGCATAACTTTATAGTATACTACTTTATGCTATAAAATGGTATTATTGTATTAAATTTTCATATGCTTCAAGTAAACTTTCAGTTTCTTTATTTTCTAGGAGAAAGATATTATGTCTGCCCAAGGAAAAGAGGAAGCATCAGACAGACGCTTACAGCAGATACAGTGTAGTATAAAACAGTTAGAATCAAGGTAAATTGGTAAATGCATCTAGCCTTTTCTGTATATTTCAAATATATGCCACACAGTGGAGTTCCAGTTATATTTAGTAGAATAAGTATCTTATAGAGCTAAATCAGAATTATAATCAATGGTTTAAAATTTGAACATAGTTTAAAAAATCATGAAATTATTGTATTTTGTAATACAATTTTGAACATATATTCAAAATCACATTTCCTACATATTCCAGTCCTGTGAGGTTTTTTTTTTTTCATAATCTTTGTGTGACCAGTTCAGTTCTTCAACTTTATCATCCACTCTTGATGTTCTGCTTTCCATTTCATTAATTCTATTGATGAGGCTTTCTCCTGTAGTTTCAAATTGACTTACTGAGTTTTTCACTTCCTTTTTCATTTCAGCCTGAGGTTTCTTCAATATTTGTATGTCTTTTGTAAATTCAGTTAGAAGTTTATCTCTGTTTCTTTTAGTTCTTTGATTCGTTTGCATGTTCTTTAAATTTGTTGAATTCTTTGATCATGTTTGTGATTGTTCTTTTAAATTCTGTGTCCTGGGTTATCTCTAGGGGGTTCTCATTGTAGAACTCCTCTATAGGACTGGTCATGTTTGGTGGGGAAATATTTTGGGAAGTGTTCATATTATTATTTTTTTCACTGTTATTTTGGCATGTGGCTTTCTTTTGTTGGCTGTGATTCTGGTATGAAACTCAAGCCTTCCTTTCTTGAACTGAAGTCTGATTCTGTTTGTATTATTGATGTTTCTTGGTTATTTTCTTATTGAATATGAAAAGCTGGTTAGTCTAGGCTTCAGGTTCTCTCTTTTGATTTTCTATTGTAGGGACCAGATGGCTCTAGACCAGCTACTTAGGAGCTCCCACAGATGCCCAAGTCAGGCACCAATCAGAAATTCTGAGACTTCCTAAGGTCTAGGCCCTACTAGCCAGCAGGCACAGCACAATTTTGGAAACTCGCTAGGTGGCAGCTAGATTCAGGCACTCTCAGGTGGTCTGCAAAGATCTGGGCCCCTACTAAAGGTCAGAGAAGCCTAGTCCTGCAGCAGTGGGTGGGGTTGCAGATGGTTCCAAGGTAGGGGGATGAGCAAGGCACAATTTGGGAAGCTCACTACCACGTGTAGGCCAGAATCAGAATCAGGCACTTTCAGGTAGTCTGAAAAGGACTGGGCCTCCTATGCATCAATTTTTTTTTTCTTTTTTGGTCTTTTTGAAACAGGGCCTCCCTGTAGCCCCCCAGCTGTCCTGGAACTCACTATGTAGACCAGGCTGGCCTTGAACTCACAGAGATCCACCTGTCTCTACCTCCCGAGTGCTGGGATTAAAGGTGTGCGCCATCATGCCCGGCTTTTTTGTTTTTTAATATTTATTATTTTTGTATATGCGTGTATTGTCTGCATGTAGGTAAGTGCACCCATGTCATGCATTGCCTGCAGAAGACAGAAGAGGCTGTCAGATATCCTGGAACTGAAGTTACAGACAGTTGTCAGCTGCCATGTGGGTGCTGGGATTTGAACCCGTGTCTTCTGCAAGAACAGTGTTCTTAACCACTGAGCCATCTCTCCAGCCCCTATGCACCAGTTCTTCACAAAGATTATTATTCTCTTTCTTGGTTGGCTACTGCTACCATATGTAATTTCAACTCTTATTTATTAAGGAATACATGTAGATTTATACATCCGAATACAAACTGCATTTTTTTTATTAAGCAAATGGTCACTGTCTGCACTGAAGGTAGGGGAGGGATGGAGGGAGAGAGGACAGGTATATGGTGCTTCTAAGAACAGTAATGTGAATGTGATCTAAAATTATAATTTAATTAAAATTTTCTTTCTGAGACTGGAGAGATGGACCAGATGTTAAGAGTGTTTGCTGATCTTGCCAAGGAATGAGTTCTGGTCCCAGCACCCACATCTGTTGGTTCACAACTGCCTGTCACTCCACCTCCAGTGGATCCAACACACTCTTCTGGTTTCTCTGGGCACCCACATATACATGCATACACACACACACACACACACACACACAGAGAGAGAGAGACAGAGAGAGAGAGACAGAGAGAGAGAGAGAGAGATACACATATATACATAAATACACATAATTTTAAAAATTAAAAGAAATTCTTAAATTTTCTTTCAAGGTTTGATTGGGTAGTTTAAGAAGTCTTTAGTACTGTAAAAGACCAAAAAGCACCAAACAAATTTAGAAATTTTATATAAGCTGTTGTAGTAGGGAGAATCTTCATAATAAGGAATGTTTTTAAAGAGTTAGATAGAGTTTTGAGATTTCACATAGGCAAATAAACAATTGAGTCATGCATAAATCTATGTGAGTGCAGGATTTGCCTCAATGTTAGCCATTTTCTAAAAAGAAATAGAGGCGTTTTTTAGAACAAATGTGGGCGTATCACTTAGCAATCTCTGTTTCTCTAGGAGCACAGGGCTCAAAGCCCAGGACCGTCAGTACAGCAGAAGAACAAAAGCCAGGTACAGCAAGTATAATATACCACTAGCATCTACTCAGGCCTGCAATTCATAGTTATGTGTACCATAGGCTTGAAATGGAGAACAAAATAGTGATTCATTATGAATTAGGCAGACTATTTGAGTCAAATAGTGGCAGACTAAATATTATAGAGGGAAAAATCTTAATGTAAATATCTTTCCAATAAAACAAACATTTTCTTGCAAATTATATACTTAATTGCTGACATAATCATAGTTTTCATATCAAAAAGAATAAGAGTCAGTCTTATTCTGAGCCAAATATGAGTGCACATGGGAGAACAACTTCAGTTACCCTAAATAGCACATTCTAACATGGCAATGTAATTTGAATTTCTATAAATCACAAAATAAAGGATAGTCGTAAGTGAAGGCATTTCCCAAATACCTTGATGGGAGAATCAGGTAGTTGTGGGAAAATTGCTGTAGGTTTCAGATGATATCTGATGACATTCTTAGCTTTTTCATTGGTAGTCTGTTAATCTGAAACTTTTACCTAATAGAATAATGTTGGATCAGCCACAGAAGTGACGAATTATTTGTTGTTAAAAGGAAAAAAAGATAGTACAAGATAATTTGGCTCTGGCTCTGTAGCAATCCATGAAATTCTAATTGGTCAAATCAACCTTTATGGAATCTTTGTCATGGGTATGGCGTCTTCTTTGTGAACTTCAGTTCACAAAGTATAAGAGAAATAAATTACCAAGCAACACAAGCAACAACAACAAACTGGTCACTGAGACTTGAGGGGTAAATAAACAAGGAAGCCAGGACTTGTACTGCACAATATGGCTAGAAGCTAAACTTCCTCCATCTTCCCTAAAACTGGAATCCTTGATTGAGCTAGTATAACATGGATTCATTTGAAACTACCACTTGTTTACCCTCTCTTCTTTGCTCTGTGGACATCCTTAGTCCTTTTGGCTGAAGAGAAGCCCTTTTCCTTGGGTTTTAGTTAACTGGCTTCAGGAGGTTGAGTTCTTAATGGGATCTGCACATATCATATCAAGACTTTATTCCAAAAAATCCCCAGCTCCACCTCCACTGTGTATGAAGCACACAGAACACAGAGGTTGCTCCATGTCCCATAGACATGGAATGAAGGATTGGCAGTGGGAAATGTATCAGTGCAGGTAGAAACCATATTTATGCTGTAATGTGAAAGCATAGAAAAATGTCCAAAACAACAGACTCGTTAAATTCACTCTTTTCCAAAAGGAGAATTGGGATGTGAAGTGATTGATTGGGATTGGACTTCCTGCCTCTTCTCCCCATCTTCCCTACCCCCAATCTTTTATTTACTTTTGTTTCTCCTTTTAGTCTTTTTAATGGTTTATTGCTTTATAAGATGTTCTCTGTAACGCCTCCTTGTCTCTTTATATTCCTATAAATTGGTTTATCTAAAAAGAAAATACAAGTACTCCCCAGGAAGTCAGATACAGATCCCTTTCGAGAAGAGAAGGTGTGCATGTGGTAACACAGGCCTGTAATCCCAGCACTGGGAAGTTAAGGCAGGAAGAACATAAATTCAAGGCCAACCTTAGATACATAGTAGACCTTGTCTTATAAAAGAACTTCAGATAATAAAATTAAAAGATATAGAATATAGAGAAACAATAAGCAGTCTTTTTAATCTATATTTTTTGAAGTTATTACATTTTTTATTGAATTTTTGTGGGTTTCCTACACAGCATCTTAATCATCTTTATAATCCCCTTCCCCATCAGCACCCTCTCATGGCCCCTCCCCACTGCATTTCATGCATTCTGTCATTTATGTTAAGGCATGTCAAGTCAAGTTAATGTCCCCAGAAGTTCCTTAATGCAAGTTCATCCCCTGGGGTCTAGTCAGCCTATCTTGAGTCACTCCCTTAAAGATCATCTCTTCCTCACCCAACGATAATCAGCTACCCAATAGTTCTTCGCTAAGATTGGGGCCTGCTGAGAAGTTATTTTCTACCTTTACTTAATCCCCCAAATAGCATAGTTATCCTCAGTCAGTTGCAAAATCAAAATGTTCTTTCCATTTTGAAGCAGAAAAAAAAGATAGTGAAGTTGGGTAAAAATTATATGTTTAAAAAAAAATCTAACTAACTAGATACATACAGTGAAAAATACTTGAGAAAATGCAATTTCCCTGGAGTTTTTTGGAGCAATAACTTTTTAAATTATTTTTGAAGGTCTGGACTGCTTTTAAAATGTATTCTATAGTTTTGTCTTAAATTGCTATCTTACTGCACAGATTCATTCTAGAATATTTTGTGTTGTTGTATTCTAATCCTTAATGGTTAATTAAAAGACTTGAAAATTGTCAGTAGTTGCCCATTAAAGATAAAATATTCATAGCCTGTTAATTCACATTTTGGTTTGTAGCTGAAAATTCAAATCTTTGATTGTAATCTGTTATACACAGAAATGATTTCCTACTCTGAACTTACCAAGAATTGCTGTCTCTTCCAATATAGTCACAGAGTAAGCTCACTGTGGTCTAGAAAAAAATAGTGTCTTTGAATTTCTGTTTCCTGTTCTCCAAATGTTAATAAGTAATTACTTTGCTCACAGCTGGTTGAGAGCTAATTGATTTTAATAGCTTACATGAGACTAGTGAAAGGACTTGTAATTGTTAAGTACTAGGGATTTGGTTTTCTTTTTTTTTCTTTACTTTTCAACAATTGATTATTTTATTGCTTTCTGAACTCCTTAAGTTAACCCTTGAGAAAAACTCAAGGCTATAGATTTTTATTTCTGTTATTTTAAGAGCATTTTGCACAGTTAATACAGAATCAAAAAGTATCATGATGTTTACTTATTAAACAATATTTTATGTTTTTATTGTTAAAAATGGGGGATAAGTGTTGGTATTGTATAGTATAAAGCTATCATGTAACCTAAACTGAATAGAAATCAGTCTAAGAAGAAATCACTAGATATGTAGTTCAATATTGTTAGTCTCTGAAAAGAAGTTTTCTGTATTGATTCTCCTAGTACTGTTGCTATGGCTATTATAATAAAATGCTTGTATATTTTAAAGCTTAAAAAATATTGTATAATACATGAAAACAGAGTTAGCAGTGTATTTACTGTATCAGTAAGCACCATTTAATGAAGGTGTTTCAGACAAGAATATATCCCATTTAATAAACTGCCAAATTGGAATACCCTTTTTTTTTTTTTTTTGGAATACCATTTTCAATGACTATCTTTGTCCTATAAAGTAAAAAAATATTTTAAGTATCAATAAATCAATTAAGTAATGTAACATCAATAACTATTATTTGAACTTTTGAATTGTTTGTAGTCTTTTCAAATGCCACAAATGTTTTAAAACATGCCATTTCCTTCCCTCTTCTAAAGAACTCTTCTCCCCCTTCTGGACTGTTAGTCCAGGGAGCAGCAGTCGCTTTAGAAAAAGCTTTATTATTTTTTATATGCTTTTCCAAATAAGGCAGGAGTTAGATTGGTAGAATTGATGTAAACTACTACTTTGTTTTTTTTTTAGTTTGATATTTCTTTTAAAATAAAAATATGCGACTATTCAGGTACCTACTAAAAAGCCGTTTTCATCCTGGCCATTGTTTGACATTTTACTTGCTACCTGTATTCCTAAGCATAATAGAATATGTACATTTTTAAATTAAAGATGCTAGAAACTTTAAACTGATTATAAATGGAATAGAAGGCTGTATATTCAAAATTAGTGGGGGAAAATGTGATTGGATAAAGGATGAAAAATCTTGGAAGTGAGATAAAACTGAATTAATTTCATTAGTTTTATTACAGATTCTTCAACTAGGGCTACATGACAATATTATAATGAAGATTAATTTGATATTTTTAAGGTGAGACTATCAGGAGACAGAAATGTAAATTATTGAAGTGCAAAGACTTTTAGATTTAAAGGCAAACAAAATTGCTTTGAAAAAAATTGGTATGATTTTGTTGTTGTTGTTGTTGTATTTTCTTTGTGTCTTGAAGACTATCAGTTTTTAGGATTAAATTTAATAAGATTATCTAAGCAACCTAGCCTCACATGTACTATTTTAGTTTCTCAAATCATTATCTTTTAAATTAAAGGTAACTTCTCCCTAAAAAAATAAAATTTCTTTTGACTTTTTAAACTTTTTAAAAATCTAGCATCTAAGACAATCAACTGGTATTTATAGGAAAGCAATATAGTTATGACTAATAAATTATAGTTCTCTCCAATAATAAAAATCTTTTTGCAGTCTCACTGTACTTATTGGAATACTACAAAGCAAAAGAGTGTAATAAAATATTACGAAGATAAATCTTAAATCTTTCCACTACTACAGCTCTGTGAGTTATTGTAAAATGAATTATTTCTAAATTAATATGAGTTTTAAATTATTTCTATTTAACTAATAAAGTTATGTTGATTTTCTATCAATTCTGTGCAGGGTAGTTTTATATGTGCTAAGTAGCCATGAACTAGCTTTAATTTATTTCATAGTCTATTTTTATCAAAGGAAATTCTGCACAGATATTTTTAAAGTCATACAGTACCACAAGGAATATAGTAAAAATAAGTTTATTGGGAGTAAGTATAGCTAAGGATGGTCATCTTATAAAAACTAAAATCTCTAAGGTTAAAGATCATCAAAATTAACTATATTAAATTTTTGGTATGGATCTAGAGAAATAGATCAGTTGGTAAAGTGCTCGTTGTACAAGCATGAGGACCTGAGTTCTCTTCCCAGGCACTCACTCCCCCCCCATGGGGAGGGTAGGAGTAGGGTGGTATTCAATCCCAGCACTGGGGAGGCAGAGATAGGCTCTTCCCTAGGGCCTGTTTAGCTAGCCTAGCCTAGCCAAATATTAGCATTAGGTTTGGTGAAGATCCACTAAATAGAAACACTAAGCAACAAAAAAAATCTGATTTGGAATAATATATTTGTAGTATATAAGAAAATAAGTGCCGGGCATGATGGCACACGCCTTTAATCCCAGCACTTGGGAGGCAAAGGCAGGTGGATCTCTGTGAGTTCAAGGCCAGCCTGGTCTACATAGTGAGTTCCAGGACAGCTGGGGCTACAGGGAGACCCTGTCTCAAAAAGACAAAAAAAAAAAAAAAAAAAAAAAAAAAAAAAAAAAAGAAAAGGAAATGAGGGGCCAGGCATGGTAACACACGCCTTTAAATCCTAGTGCTCAGGAGGCAGAGGCAGGCAAATCTCGAGGCCAGCTGGAGTTACAAGGAGACCCTGTATCAAAAAGTCAAAAAAAGGAAAAATGAAAGAAAATGAGGCCTAACAACTATAATACACAGAGTTCTTATAAAGGAGCAAGTGAACAATTCAAAAGGAAAAAATGGTTAGAGAAGATAAGGAAATTCAAAGAGCAAAATCACATGGCTTACAAAAAATAAGAAAATATCCTTAAATTCAGTAGTCAGAAAAATGCAAATTTACAGTGAAATAAAGGTAGAGCTTTTGAATTGAGAAAGAGATTTGAGGTATATTACTTGATAGATTTTTTTAAGGATATTAAGTGAGAAAAATACAGCATTATACTATGATTTTAATTTTTGTAACCCCTAAAATTATGTTTAAAACCATATGGATAGGTATATAGGTGCTGTGTATGTGCATGCATATATATAAAATCATGTAAATGAGAGAAAAATAGATACACATTAATAAATTGATGTGTTTTGTTAGTAGAAGATAGGAAAAGAGACCACCGAGTTGTATGTAAAGACCAAGCATAAAAATATAACAACTCAATCTTTAAGGATTTGATCAGTAGTAATATTACCATATTCAATATAAAATCATAGTTGGCTGTCTGCCCGACTCTTGTTGCTGACAAATTGTGTGGCTCTCAACCTTGGTTAGAAAAGCGTCTTGTAGAGGATGGTGGTTAATGCAAAGATAATAACTGCTCAAAAGTGCTCATCCATGGTGGGTGCTCATCCATGCAGCCATAGATGGAACATCTATATCAGTCTACCCACAAGGCTTAGGGAGCATGACAGAAGTGGGAACGAAAAGGATTTAAGAGCCAGAGTATAGGAAAGAGTGTTGTGAAAGACTGTCCTCTAGATATGACATGGCTCTTACACACATGAATTCATCTGCTGTGTTTGCTGACACAAGATCAAGCTGGTTAAAAACTCCAGCATGGAGCAGGAAGGAGCTCCCAATTCCCCCCTCTTAGCTGAAGAGCTAATGACAGTTGATGACTGCTAAGAAGAGGAGAGGCACTTTTCTTTGGGGAGGGGTGGCTATTGATAGGTTGCCCATGCCCCATTGGAACACACACACATACACACACACACTGCACATATGGGCAGCACTAATTTTAGAACTTGGTGGGTTCAGAAAAAAAGACATGAAGTTGGGAAAGAGATGAGCAGGAGATATGTTGGTGGTTTATAGGGTCTGGAGGGAGAAAATGGAGGAATGGATACAACCAAGATACACTGTAAATTTTTAAAAAATAAAAATTAAATTTAGAGAATGTTTTAAAAAGAATGTCTTACTTCGGGCTCTGTCCCACTGTTCTTTTTATTATTTTAATCAAAAGCTGAATCTCTAAATGTTTTTCTTTAAAATGAATATAATAAAACCTACTTTTAAAGAACTGTAGCAAGGTTTAAATGAGAAAATACAAATAAAAATAACTGTCTTAATACCAGTCCTGTAGTGAATGTTTAATAAGCCTCTTATGTCCTTCCCTTTAAAAAAAAATTGACTTTCACATTGTGATTATTAATTTCTAGATTATGTATAGCAATCCAAGAAGCCAACTTACTAAGAACAGAGAAAACACATTTGGAAAAACAGATCAAAGAGCTACAAGCAAAGTTCAGTGTCTCAGAAAATGAGAAATATGAGGCTATTTCAAGAGCCAGAGATACCATGCAACTCTTAGAAGAAGCTAACCTTAAAAAAAATCAGGTAAGAAAACTTACAAAAGAATAAAATACTGACATACCCCACATGCCCTAACAATAAAGGAATCAGTAACTGCAGAATAAATGCATGAAACAAAATCACTCCTCATTAAATAATTATGCTGTATGTTAGATGTAAAATTAAATATAAAATATATAAAAATGGCAATCATTTTTCAAAACTGGTATTTAAATATCAGACTTTTGTTCTGTCTTGATTCTTATCATTATTCTTCCCCCTTTATACTGTTATACTCCTTTTCTCTATCTTTGATCCAGTTGAATTTTATTCTTTTGTTTCCTCTTTATCACTTATGTAGCTCCCCTAGTAGAACAGAAACTTAATTGACAGAATCAAATTTAACTTGAAAGATTAAGTGAATTCTTCAACTCATATTTATTTTTTTAATCCTTTAACCATTGTGATTTCTGTGCTAGCTACCATGTTTTTGTTTTGCCCTTGTTAATTGGGTATCATTTATAAAAGACAAAAAAGTAGATAGTTTTAAATATTGCTATCATTTTTATGTATAGCTCACTATTGCATTAATTTATATACCAACATTTGTACTTATGTGGAATACTCCGGTAGGAAATATGAGGGGTATATAGAAAATACATTTTTTTGTTCTTTTTTTTTTCCTTTACATGGTAGATTTTCCAAGAGAGGTACAAAAATTCTTTAAGTTGACTGTTATAAACCTAGTAGTAAATAAAAAGGAAGTTGGGTGTGGTGCCATATAGTTGTAATCCAAGCACTCATAAATTTATCACCAGTGGTGCCTATATAATGAAACCTTGTCTCAAAAAAAAAAAAAAAAGAAAAAAAGAAAGAAAAAAGACTGGAGATACTAAAGTGTTTATCATGCCTTTCAGCTAATATTCATATCTGTGACTTAAATTTTGTCTCTCACACTCTCAAAATAGTAAAAATGCATACAGTAGGTCTTGGGATATAGTTCAGTAGGAGAATTCTTATCTCACAAAACTGAGCCCCTAGGTTTGATTCTTAGTACCACCAAAAATAAAATATATTCTCCTCCACAATAGGCATATTATGCTTAGAAATTGTTCTAAGTATCCACATTTGCTAGGAAATTTAAGGACAGGACTAACATGTCTGTCTTTACCCTCTGAAGCCTAGTTGTATGAGCATTATTAATTAGATTTTGTGTGGCATACAATGGGGAGAAGACAGTTGCCTATATCAGATCTCTCACTTAAGTCCTAAGTCCACAGATCCTTACAGAAGCAGCATGTGACTGTGATAATAATTTCCCTCTTGACTCATTGCTAGAGGGCTTCCATCTTGCAATTGCTTATTAAAAAAATCAAGAATTCTCTTAGCTAATCAGATAACAAGCAGGGTGCCCAGCTCCCTTCTTCATTAGCCCGTGTTTCTTTCAGAGTTGTTAAATTGCAACAGCTGTTACTTGTCACTTTTTTTAATTCTTGGAGAATTCCATACATGTACACAATGTATTTTGATCATATCCATTACCCACTCCCCCTTTCCACTTCTCTCAGACCATACTCACCCCACCAACACCCACCCCACCACATCACTCTCATAAATTCATATCCTAGGGCAACCCTAAACTCTCATCAGAGAAGCTTCTTTTCACAGTGGACACAAATTAATACAGAGACTCACAGCTGGTCAGTGTGCAGAGAATGAATAACCATGGAGTCTCAGCCCCCGATGGGACATCTGTATTACAAACTTCTCCCTGAAAAGTTCAAGAAACATCACAAAGAGGGGGCAAAAAGACTGTAAGAGCCAGAGGTCAGGGAGGACTTCAGTGAAACAGTATCTTATGGACATGACAAGGCATTACGCTTAGGAATCACAGAAGCCATAGTTCCCTGCACAAGATCAAGCCAGTCAAAATTCCCATATAGGTGGGGAAGGGACTCATGAACTTCCACCCCTAGTTGAAGAGTAGTGAAGGCTGCTGCTGTATATGCAGTCAGTTTTCTTCAGGGATGTGGACCCTAGTAGGTTGCCCATGCTTCAGTGGATGATCCTATTCCCACCCACATGCAGGTAGCACTGATGGAACTTGGTGAATTATAAAATGACTTCTCAGGGCTAAAGAGATGGCTTAGTGCTTAAAAACACTTACTGTTCTTGCAAAAGACCTGTTCCTGAGACCTGCATCAGATAGCATCCAACTGCCTGTAACTCCAGTTCAGGGGATCTGATGGCCTCTGACCTCAGGCACTCACATGCATGTGGTACATATTACTTCACGCAGGCACGCACACATATACAGAAATAAAAATAGTATCTTTAAAAGAAACATATGTCACAGTGATTTTAAAGGAACTTTTTAAGAAAGATCTGAGTATGTAATGTTAGTGTATAGAATATAGAATATGTGTGTTATCTTTTGCAGATGATTGGGTCAGAATAATGTGTTAGTAAAAAAAAAGATTCAATATGGTATGATTGGAGGAGTTAATTGCTCAGAAAGATGTTTGGGTGGGTTATAGATAAAAATTTGGAAATTATCAATATATAAATGATACTTAAAATTAGAAGATTTGGTTAGCTTAGCAAGGAAGGGCATTGAGAATTGAGTCTCCCAATATTAGCATCTAACTGGCAAGTACAGTATTAGGAAGAGAAAGAACCAATGAGTATAAGAAAAGATGTGATGGGTTAAGGTGGGGAAAGGCAATAAATAATATGGTGTGCTGATGACCAAGTCTCTGATCAAGATGAATACTGAAAATTATCTCAGTTGATATTTGCAATGGCATTACAAGTAAAGAAAGTTCAATTAGAAGTGAAAGAGAAATGGAAATGGCTATATACAAGCAAGTTTTAGCATCTTGCTCCACAGAGAAAGAAATTGTCTCTGACAAAAGAAGTGAGACTTGGAAATATTTTTTAGTAGAAGATACAGATTATTAGAGAGAAAAACACATCAAAGTGACAAAGTAGATGGTATCTTCAGTAACTGAGATGTGAAGTAACAAGGGCCATAAATGAAATAATAATGAAAGAAAGGTAAAGTTGAGAGGTTTTTTTTTCTAGGAATTGAATATGTAGATGTAGTAGCTTACTTTGTGTAAGGATTTAGACAAAAAGATAAATTCAAAATGGCTATTAAGATTTTTTTTGGAGATGAGAAAAGTGATGAAACCTCTTCCTGAAATAAACACCAAAGGTTTAATTAGGGATAAGGTAAGTAATGCTGGGAAAATTCAGTATCATTCATGGTTTATGTGCGATCTTATAGGTATCCCAAATCTAGACAGAGACATTGCAATTAAAGAGCATATTACCTCTGCTAGTAATAATGATATATTACATGAAATGATTGTTTTCTAAAGATTCTGCTTGAAGAAAAGCAAAAAGAAGACGATAGAGAGAAGATGAAGAAAACAGTTTCTCAGCTTATACAAGATGCTGCCATAAAAGCAAGGAAAGAAGTAAGGAGTGGGGTTTTTTTGCATTTTTAAAATTTACTTTTAGCTGGGTGTGGTGGTGCACACCTGTAGTCCCAGCACTTGGGAGGCAGAGGCAGGTGGATCTCTGTGAGTTCCAGGACAGCTGGGGCTACAGGGACGCCCTGTCTCAAAAAGACAAAAAAAAATTTATTTTTATGTGTGTGTGTCTTTTGCCTTTGTGTGTTTGAATACACCTGTGTTATGTAGTGCCCACAGAGACCAGAAGAGGGTGTCAAATCCCCTAGAACTGGAGCCAGGGACAGTTGTGAGTCTCCATGTTGATGCTTGTAACTGAACCCAGGTCCTCTGCAAGAGGTACTCTTAACCACCAAGCCATCTCCTGTCCCCGGAAATTTTTAATTATGTTTAAATTAAATTCAAAAGTTAAATGCCAGCCTAGACTGAATAATACTTTAAAATTCTTGTGCACACATTGATAAAGACTATATGTGACATTATTAGCATAAGTGGTTAAAAACTAATGTTCCTTTCCTTTAAAATGAATTTCTGCAGTATAATGTAATTTACTGTATAGTCTTCCTTTACATAAACAGTGAGTTTTTTTCTTATCTGTGTTTTTCTACGAACAATAATATTTCTCTCCTAGATGGACTACAATTTCAAACATGGTTATAATAACATTAGTTTAAAAGCATAAAGTTAACATATTCACTGTCTCCATAACAACTAAATGGTAGAGTTTTCATTCTTACAAACACACTTCCAATATATCCCTTAGAAATCTATTACAGTCACTTGTCATATAAAGGACATTTTTGGTCAAGAACAACCTATGATGGCAGTGGTCTTATAAAACTATAGTAGAACTGAAAAACCTGTTGCCTAGTTTTTTTTACGGTACGTTTTCAGTTTGAATACATTTGGTTAGACAAGTACCATTCTGTGTATGTTCTGGTAACATGCTGTGCAGTTTTATAACCTATGAACACTGAACCTCCTAGGTTTGCATAAGTGTCTTATGATGTTCACAGTTACCAAATTAACAATACACTTCTCAGAACAAACCCTGTTGTTAAGTGGAAATAAATGAAAATTAAATAAATAAATAATTTTTTAAAGTAGTTGGTTAAGCTTTCAAGCCCTATTAAATTCCGATTTCCTAACAGGTTTGAGCTCCTCTTTCTATTAGTTTTATTAATATTTGTTATGTAAATGAAGACATTCTTGTTAGAAGACAGTATAAAGAATACTGTATTGTGTAATTTCTTCTATACTATGTTTCTCTTTTTTTTTTTTCAAACTAAATCTGGTATAATGGCAGTATAATAAAGCAGGTGAAGTCATTATTCACATTTAAAAACTACTAGAGTTCTGCCACCCTGGGCCTGCAGGAACTGCAGGCCTCTCCAGGGTAAATCCATCACGCCCTCCGCATCTTGACTCCCCCAGCCTCATTCACCCTCTCATCTCCCCTGCCGGTCTTTACTCCTAGCCTGGGTCCTGTCCCATTCCTTGTCTTGGTGGCCCAGAAACCTGGGGAAGCACCACTGCTTCCTGATCCTTTGAATCCAGACCATCTCGGTGCCTTCTCAGGTCCTCAGGGGCACTCTGGGACTGGCCCCACCCTCACCTCCCTCTACTTCCCTGGGCCTGTACCACCCACCAGCATGTTTCTGGAGCACTGGGGCTAACCTTTCCTCTTTCTGATCATTGCATCCAGAACAACCCACCTCCTCAGTGCAGTCCCCAGGAGCCCTTGGGGCCTCTTCCCGCTTCCATCTGCCTTGGCATCTCTGGGTGGCATGGCCACAAGCTGCACTAGACTAGCATCTTTCCTAGGCCCGGCTCCCAGGCTGGTCCAATCCCCAAATTCCTGAGACCAAAATCTTTCCTGGAGGGTCAAGACCTTAGGAGAAAGCCTGAGAGCATCTAATCCTCATCTGACTTAGGCCTCCATGGAAACATCTGAAGACAAAAGAAATTGGGCCACTCCAAAATAAAATCAAAAGAGAGAACCAGAAGCTTAGACAAACCAGCTTTTGATATCCAAAAAGTAAACTACAAAGACATATAAAGTTGACAAAAAAAAAAAGCAGACCTAAACTTGAAGGCTTGAGTCTCACACAAGAATCAGAAACTACAGATCTCCCCCTCTGTTCTCTACTCCTAGTTTGGGCCCTGCGCCATTCCTAGTCTTGGGACCCCAGACACCTAGGGAACCAATACTGCTTCCTAATCCTTTTCACCCAGAACAACTCAGTGCCTTTCTTAGGCCCCAGGAGCACCGCTTCTGGACCTGGCCCCGCCCTCACCTCTCTCTGCTTCCCGGGACCTGCACCACCGGCTAACTCTCCTAGCCTGCACTCCCATCCTCAGACCTCTTGGGGTAAGTCTATAGCGCAGCCCTCTGTGCTTTGACTCCCCAAGGCACATTCACCCTTCCATCTCCCCCGCTGCTCTCTACTAGTTTGGGCCCTGCGCCATTCCTAGTCTTGGGTCCCCAGACACCTGGGGAACCAATACTGCTTCCTGATCTTTTTCACCCAGACCAACTTAGTGCCTTCTCTGGGCCTGAGGAGCACTGCTTCTGGACCTGGCCCCACCCTCATCTCCCTTTACTTCCCTGATCCTGCAACACTCGCTAGCCTCTTTCTGGGGTTGACAGCCTCTTTCTGAGACTCTGAGACGTACCTTTCCTCTCCCTGATCCTTTGCATCCAGTACAATCCAGCTACTGAATCCACTCCCTGGGAAATCTTGGGGCTTCTTCCCACCCCATCTGCCTTTGCATCCCTGCGTGCCACGGCCACGGCCAGGATCGCAGGTAAGTCCAACACCCAAGTTCCTGAGGCCAAAATCCTTCTTAGAAGATTCCAGACCTAAGGAGAAAGTCTGAAAACCTTCTGACCCACATAGGAATTGGGCCACCGCGGATCTCCTGAAGACAAAATCAATCCGGCCACAACAATATAAAATCAAAAGAGAGAACCAGAAGCTTAGACGAACCAGCTATTCATACCCAAAAAGTAAACCACGAAGATACATAAAGTTCAAAAAAAGAAGCAGAACTAAACTTGAAGGCACGAGTATCACACAAGAGTCAGAAACTAGAAAAGAAATTCACATGTCAAAATCAGAGAGAAAAAATAATAACATGAAAAACTAAAATAACATATCC